TGTTCTTTTCAAACACATCTTTAACTGATAACAGTAGTTCATCCGAGATATTTGAATATCAAAATTAGTTTTACGACCCGTAAAAGTTGTTATTGTTTTGATTTTGATGTCCTACCCTCCGCCGTTTCGCCAACCAGGAAGTGTCATGTAAGTCCGTGATCGGGTTGCCAAAACTCCGAGCGGCTCATTAATCTCAGTAGTAAAATAACATGTGGCGCAGAACTAAAAAAGGTCTTGTTATGACTCTCAAATCATTAATGACAAAACAAAGACTAAAACGAGGATTTATATCGGGATGTCTTTGAACATGCCGTTCTTCACAGTGACTCTAACTGTGTGAATCGGTGGTCTAGAGGTCTAAACTGTGCTCTTACGATGCAGGAACCCGGGTTTGATTCCGGGCTGTGTCTTTTTGTATTTATTGCATGTTATCACATTCTATGACAGATTGCTCTAAAAACGGTAAAAGACGAAGGTCAAGACGTTTTTTTGCAGATTATAGCTTAATTGTAAAAATAATCATTTAAGACCCAATTAAAATGATGTTAGTCTCTTTTTGATTTGGGACTTTTACATGTTTGTCTAAAAAATAGGGAATAAATAAACTTGAGCAAACCCTGATGTTGATACGCTGAAGAAATACGTTCCAACATCCATTCTTCCCACTCCTATTTTGGACATCAATTGCTTATGTATTTTGCATAAACTATGTATGATTACATTGCTTTTATTTTGTTTTTGTTTTTTATCTCAAATGTCCAAATAATAATAATAAAAAAACATGAATCAAAACATTCATTCAGCATTAGCACGGCTGTCATGGCAATGTGAATGAAGACGGACAAACAACTGATAAAATAATTCCCTGTGTTTGCTGCAGGATTTGGTGTGAATCTGGCAACCTGAGTCAGGGAGAGTGGGAGAGGACTACAAACTATTGACTGTGACTGCAGTACCACTTTTGGCCAAATTTTTACATATTGTTCCTTTAATGGCAGACAGCGTTCTAACCCTTCGTATAAAATCGTAATATTCTAAGTATAGTTAAATTTTTTTTTTTTTTTTAAACTGTTCATATTTGGACATAATTCTCATGAGTCACTGTTAAATGTCACACACGCATCTCAAAAGTGCTGCACTCTTCAGAGCTTGCAAAGTGAAAAGTTCTGGATGTTTTTGAAGCCGAACTGGGTCACATGACATTAAAATTCACATTGAAATCACAATAACATTTGGGTGGAAACTCCAGCAGCTCCTCTCTCGCAACACTCTCGGAATATCAATAAGTTTCCCATAATTCTTGTTCAGCTTCTACTTCTCTTTCCCTTCACGAGAAGTTCTGCACCAAACTTCTCTCTCAGTCAATTCACTCAAGAATGCACAACCACAATAACTATAAGGTTATCATATTGATACAAAAATAGATCATTCTTTATGATTTCATTAAGAAATAATTGTACATAAAAAATAGCAAGAATCGTTCCAATTTTACTCAAAAAATTCACAGACGACAAAATATGAGGCTGAAAATAAATGTTTTAGCCAACCGTTATGAATGATACATTCACAAGGTAATTAGTCACTGCACGACTTTGCAATAACACGTCAGTAAAACTAACCAGTCTCACGACGGTCTAAACCCAGATCTCGGTCCATATTAGTGAACTATCCACCGCTCTGTGAATTCTGCTTCTCAATGACAGGAAGAGCCGACATCGAATGTGGATTGTTTATAACGTGCCACAGCTTTATATTTACCTTTAGCACATAAATGTGTTTATGGGCGACAGTAGCTCAGTTGGTAGAGCATTGGCCTTTGGGCCTGAAGGTCGTGGGTTCGAGCCCACTGTAAGACTTACTTCACGACTCCCACTGATGACTGCTGTCGTTGTGTCCTTGGGCAAGACACTTAACCCCACTTTGCCCAAAGCCCCAACTGAAAGATCTCAGCTCCTGTGGACTCACTACCTGCAGGAGGATCAGTGAGGGGCTGGTGCTCTGTGAACTGGGTGCAGCTCTGACTGCCACCCCCCCGACCCAGAAATGGATTAAGGGGAAGAAAATGGATGGATGGATGGATGGATGGATGGACATAAATGTGTTATACTTCTCTGTTTCCTTAAACCTAGCTGATCCGTTTTCATATAATTTATAACACATACAGGTAACAACTATTGCATGTCTGTAGGAAGAGCGAGCTGTTGTATTTGTACACATTATTGATCTGTTTAATGTTGCTCTTAAAACCTCTACTGCAGTAGTTTTCTCATGTTTGTACTGTATTTGGGCCTCTGTCACATCTTCACATCACCTTTTTTAGACAGAATAGGGAAAAAGAGGATCCCCCTCTCTAAGCCAATGTGCTCTCAGTCCAAAGTGTCAAGTAGTGACTCACGTGGCTCTTTGTTACAAAATATAGAATATTCTCTAATCAGAGGAAGACATGGTGTGTTCTGATTGGTTCACAACATGTTACTATGACCATTCTTTCTCTTCTTATCAAACACATTTTTTTTTGTAGATACAGAAAGGTTCATCTGAGATTAATGTATCCTAGCAACAACATTTTTGTTTTGTTTAGACCATAGTGCTATTTTCTTAGAGTAACTGTTGCTTACACAAATAAGAAGCTTGTCTCTTGTGTCGTTGTTGTGTTTCCTGTTGTGACCCGTGAGCGGAGCACCTGGGAAAGCTGCACCTTTTCAGCTCTGCTTTGAATTTTCATAAATAGAGCTGTGTCCTTGAAAAGACCGGTGTGATAATCCAAGATTAGTGCCACCAAAGTGTGTGTCTGTGTGTGTTTGCGTGCTTTCTGGATGCGAACAGGAGAGTGGGAAAATAAATATACATGAAGTGTGCCAGGAAAAGCAAGGCCTTTTTCACGGGAGTCGTTTATCACTTTTTAGTCACATTTTAAGATGAGATACTGCATGTAGTGATATTGTTTTAAGGTGGTCAGAGCTGAGATTCAGGGCCAGAGTGTTTAGATGGAAATGTATACAGACAGTATTATACATTGTTCATGAGTTATAGTAAATGAGTACTGAGAGTAAATGAGTAAATGAGATGAGGCCTGAAGGTTGTGGGTTCAATTCCCACCTCTACACCTTCTCCACCGACTCCCACTGATGACTGCTGTCGTTGTGTCCTTGGGCAAGACACTTAACCCCACTTTGCCCAAAGCCCCAGCTGAAAGATCAAGGCTATGCTCACACTCAGAGAGCAGCCGTCCTCCTGTGGACTCACCATCTGCAGAGGGTCAGTGAGGGGCTGGTGCTATGAGACTTGGGTGGCATCTCTGACTGCCACCCCCCTGACCCAGAAATGGATTAAAGGGTAGAAAATGGATGGATGGATGGATGGAGTAAAGATTACCAATGTAACCTTTTTTATATAAAATTATTAAAAAGGAAACAATAAAGAAATGGCAACCATCAATATGATGCTCCACAGGCAATTTTAAAAAGGGACATACATTACATTTTAAAAGGATCATTTTAGACACCAGGCCATAATCACATTCGTGTTTTTTTTCTAATTAAAACAATATTCATTGGTTATGCTGGCCATATTATTTATGTTAACATCACAGTTATAGTTACTAAAATGTGTATCGAATTCGCCTTTCATTTGGGTTGCCAGTTCCTGTAGTGAAACCCTACGTTTGGTCTCTAAACCTCACACTTGTGGGATCTCAGTAATCTGCTCAGTCTGAGCAGCAGCAGTTTGAGTCCAGTTTTCTGGTAAATCCACTGAAAACAAACTCATGGTTTGTATTTGGAGAACCCTTGTTCAACTTATTGTACATTTTAAATGTGTGGCATTAATTATCTCCAGAAAACATGCGTGGGACAACTCTCCACCACAGAACCTGTGTGTGTGTCGTATGAAGGAACATTGCAGTGACTGAGCCTCTTCCAGAAAAGACGCATGATAGAAAATGTAAGTGAGATCTTTGCACAAAAGTAGAGATTTATTGCACTTACATTTTCTATCATGCATCTTTTCACTAGAATGTTCCTTCATGACGTCTTTCACAGTTGGTGTTTTATAATGTTCAACAAAACATGATTTCAACCTTGGAAATGACAAAAACATTACAAAACTATAAACTCAATGCCAGTCTACCATTCATTTCACGTTTAGATTGTTTTCATTTGTATTCAGACCTCATCCAAATGAATCCGTACGAGTGAGAGGATCTTCTATCAAAGCAAAGCGTGTCACTATTTTATTAAATGGACTGCAGAGTGCACACTTTATGAGGTTTAAGTCCCTTTGCATAATGTCTCTGTCTGTATTATAGTTGGTCTGTGAAGACAAATGACTTCATATAAACATTCTTATGAAAGAAATATGGAGCACATAGAAAAGAAAACATTTGTATCACAGTTTATAGGAGGATAAAGACAAGAATATACAATTATCTGAACTTTTTATAACATAACTAAATACAAATAGAGACCTATTATGAACTAGTGTCTTAAGCATTAGTCTACCAAATGCTTATATCATGCATCAAACAGAAATGTATTATAGGATACGGATAGAAACAGATTGGGCTGAAAACAAAAGCCTTTTTTCCACTTTTAAGGGATTAGCGCTGATGCTATTGATGCTATTTGGGCTCTCACCTCTGGGTATTTTAGGGCAAATGTGTTTATGTCCAATGCAGTTTGCTTTAGGCTCTCTCGTTAGCTGTATGTGTTATATTTGGTATTTAATGTAAGCGTTTTGCTTTAGTGAGATGTGACGATATCGCGCCTGTTGCCTTTTTAGTGCATGTTTCTTGAAAAGCAGTTCTGTTTCTAGAAAAGCTTCTAAAATTATCTTTTCGTGACTTGTCAGTTCATAACACTGCTGCTTTTTTGGAAAACTGCTCAAAGAGAGGACGAGTCATTAAACTTGTCAGATGCGGTTTATTTTGGATTTGTAAGAAAATAATTCTGCTGTAACAGAGAATACACAGAGCACTAACCTTTTTGTGTTTTGTGCTCCAGGCGGCAGGGATGAGCAGGAGGGTCTGGCTGCTGCTGCCAGGATCCGAAAAGAGCACAGAGAGGCCAAAGGTAAGATTACACATGTTATGCACAGAGTATACGCGCACGCACACACACACACCTCAAAGTACACATAGAAATTCCCACACGAAACAAACAGGCACACAGAGACATTCACACAGACACACACACCCACACACACACACAGACATTCACACACACAAAGACATTCACACACACACACACACACACACATAAATTGACACAGACAGACACACATGCATAGACACTCACACACAGACACACACACGCACAGACATTCACACACACACACACACACACACAGGCATAGACACTCACACACAGACACACACACGCACGCACACACACAAATTCAGACATGCATGCGCACTCACAAATACACTGGTCTTTTTATTCCGTTGTTGGAAAGTAAAGGTTGTGTTATTACTCTCCACAGGCATCGACAATTACAATGAAAACGGCACATTTAACATTTTTTACCTTTTGATGCCAAAGTATCAGAATTGCTTCATGAGTTTGTGTGTCCAGGATACAGCAACCTGGATTTACAGAAATGGTTCTCTACAATTCTCACATGTTTCCTTTGTTTGCCTTTGTTCTTTATGTTAGTCTGTTTCACATACAATCTATAAAAACATACAATCCTTACTTAGAAAAATAGGGTTCGCAGACACTAGTTTTTGCTCTTGTTTAGGAATCTGTATGAGAGTAACCTGCAGATTCATTACAATTTACAATTCAGACCTGTTTAAATGAGAGAAACTTCACACATATTCAGTCAGTCAATATGTCAGTCACATATTCATTTGTGTTGGTCCCTTTCAAGATCATAATCATAGACTGTATATATTAACGTAAGTAATCACACCTATCGCTGCCGTTCTGACTAATGGGCCAAAAATGGGCTTTCATGGAGTGATTCAAAATGGCCGCGGGGGCTGGAAAATGTGAAAAAACCCATCTGTGCATGCGTCAGCTGCACGAGCCCCATTCATTTAAACGAGTGACTTCAAAAATTCACAGCGACTAAACTAGACTGGTCCAAAACACTCCCTCTGCTTTGACACACATGTGGAACGGAGCTTTGGGCCAAGAGCCAACTTTTGGTCCATCCTGTGAAGACGTTTTCGAGCGGTAAGAAGATGCTATATGTTAGCATTGGCTAATTCTTATTCCGGGTCCACCCCCATCGGCCCGGGGTGGTATTGCAGCATGTCAGCGCACGTCATTTTGGCCACTTTTGAGCCGGGACCCGCCCTCACTGATCATAATATTTATAATTACACAGATTTTGTAATATCTGTATTAGTGTGATAACTGTTTTAGTGCAACTCTTTCATTCAGACTCTAACAAAAGTTAATATCTATTAAAACTATAACATACTAAAACAGCCCGACCCAATCTCTCTTATTTAATGGGAGGTGATATACTGGTTTTATAAATGCACAGTCATTGCTTTTTGTTATCAGCTGACAACCTTAAGACTTTATAATCTCACAGGTAGTCCACATTCAAAAACATTTCACTCACAAAAGACGGTGCTTGAAAAAACCCTATTCCTGGATTGTCCTGCTGTGCTTTGAGGATATAGGTGGAAAAGGCCACTGAGCAGCACCAGCAGAGATAAAAAGAAGAGTCGAAATCCAAAGGGTAACGGGAGGAACAGTATGACAAATGGACATGCACGCAGCATATAGATTAGCTCCAGAGAATTAAATAGAAAGAATATAGGATGTACAGAGCCAGATGAGTCGATAAATGATAGCGGCGAAAGATTTATGGACCCATTGACTAAAGCTTACAGTGTCTCTTCCTCGCCCATGTTGAGAAATGGATCCGACTGACCTTCACAGCGCTATAAATCCCCACTCTGTGTCATGACTAAACGCACCATAAGTTATCTCCAACCCTGGTTACAGCCTTGAAGTCTGTAACCAGGCTCTACAAGAGGCGTCAATTCATATTTACCACACACAAACCTGGCTTCAAACTTGTATACAGAGAGCTATGACACACACGCATTTGGAAAAATATGTTCGTAAAATGTATGTTTTAAGATTAAGAGATCCTTTACTTGTTCCACAGTGGGAAAAGAAAAAAGAACAATAGCTATACTAATTTAAATAAAACAAAATCTCTAGCCTCCAATTAGAAGTATAAAATCTATATCTTGAAAATAATAAAAAGAAGTGTAAAACTTTTACATTTGGCCAAATAAGAGGCAAGTATAAAGTACTGTGTATTCTAGTGCTAGCAATATGTATGTACATGTTAGCATCAGTACATTAGCAGCAGTATGTTTACATCTGTACAGTAGCAGCAGTATGTTTACATCTGTACATTAGCTGCATGTTTTGAAGGGATGATGAAACTGTCAGTGCCCTGTTTCGAGATGTTTGAAAACGACTGTACCGGAATTTAAATGAACAAAAACATGTGAAATTTAACTTCATAATCATAATAAGTCTTCGTCCATTTTAATCTGGTTTGTTTTTACAGCTTATCATCATAGTAATGTCTCATCGGCACAGTGGCATAGTGTGCTTCCCAGTCGCAATAGGGTCTTTCTGAGTGGAGTTTGCATGTTCTCCCCGTGTCTGCGTAGGTTTACTCTAGGTACTCTAGTTTCCCCTACCACTAAAAACATGTACAATAGGTATGTGCCTCCTGTACTGACCCCGCTCCCATCTCTGTGTGGAGTCAGAGACAAGTGCCCACAATTGTAAACCGCTTTGTGACTAGTCTGTGAAAGGCGGTATATAAATAAAATGGAGGGAGGGAGAAGTTTGCATATTCTCCCTGTGTTCATGTATTTCCTCAGTATCCCGCAATTGACATATTTTTGGATTTACAATTGAATGCCCTGCAAAGCTTGTTTGTTTTCATAAAACACCACAGGTAAATAGATTATGAAAGAGAACCAAAGTGCTCACGCAGATCAAACACCACAAAATATGAACAAGAGATGGTCTTGATCAGGAATTAAACTAGACCTGCTCCTTTCTTACTGCTGTTTGCGCATAATCATAATAGAAAACAATTATAAATAACCTGCTGATGTATCGTTACACTCTCTGTGCAAAAGAGATTTTTAATTAATTGCTTTTCCGTCCAGTAGATGTATTGCTTCTCACAGGTATTGAGCATAAAACCAGTGGTTATTTGTTCCTATTCAACACAATTCATTGAATACTATAAATATAATAATAATGCATCAGTTTTATAAAGCGCTTTTTTGGACACTCAAAGATGCTTTACATGTCATTATTCATTCACTACAAACACGGTGGTGATAAACTACTACTGTAGCCACAGCTGCCCTGGGGCACACTGACAGAAGCGAGGCAACCAGTCTGTGCCATTAGCCCCTCCCACCACCACCAACCATTCACACACACAACAGACTCATTCTAGACAATGGGGGTGAAGTGTCTTGCCTAAGGACACAACGGCCAATACTCTACCAACAGCAACTATCGCCTCAATAAATGGTTTTAGAGCTTTTCAGTCATGTTTGTGTTGGTCTGCCCAAGGGCCGCTGTGGCTATAGTCCTGAACAGCAGCATGTATGGTAAAAAAAACCCCAAATTTTACTTCTTTACAGACCAAAAATTGGGCTCAAGTCGTTCAAAATCCGTAAAATATAAATTTAAAATGAATTTCCTGACTTCACAAGTACACACACACACACATATACAACACATCATATCTTCATCAGACTTACTTAAGCAATACTGATATTTAACTAATATCATACAAATAATGTGTAGTTTTTCATTACTGTGTGCGATGTGTTCGTACAGTATGTATTAGTTCACGGAGCCTTGTGCAAAGTGACAGGCTCCGTGTCGCTTGAGTCGTTGAAGTCGGGCTCCCTGGACGAGGGCGTGCAAGAATTGATTACTTCTTTTGTAATTGGCAGGCGCTGAAGCATAGGGGACAGGGGAGGTGTCTGTAGCTGGGTGTCTGCGCGCTGAATGAGAATGTGTGTGAGAGGAAAGAGCAAGAAGGAGGCGGTAAAAGATTCTCATTAGTATGTAAGACAGCAGCTTTGAACGTCTATGTCCTTACACCTTTTGGCTTCTTTCTAGTTATCTGCATGTTTGTATGTTATGGGAATATGTATGTCCTTGGGTCTTATGTATTTTAACAGATGTGTAGTATGCTATTATCTCTGTTTTATACTGTAAATGTGTACGTATTCACAGATATGTATCTTCCTGAGTACCTAATCAGTAATTTTCTGATTCTTTATCTGACCTATATCCAGATTATCCTATTCTCACAACATTATGCAAGCTACTGACACAACGCACTTTCCCCGTGGATCGATAATGTCTAAGTCTAAAACAGGCAAGTCTTGTATAAAAAGTGAAAATGCTGAAGAGGCTTAGTTTTATTTTAATTTACCTAATTAGTGAAAATGGCTAAATGGGAATGAATCACCATTCATTCCATGAATGAATGGTGATTGAAACACCAAGTCACATCCATTCAAAACAATGGAGTGGTTATTGCGTTCTTCTGAAAAGCAGTTAAGACAAATGTCAATGTTTTAACCTTTGACTAATTGAATCGGAGTGAATTGCTCAAACCAGCTCTCGTCTTGATTCAGTCGAGGGAATGAGGCACAATTCAATTCTGCAATGGGCAAACGCCAAATACCAGTGGATTTAGCGTTTTAGAGAATGCATTTAGAAATGTAAATTAATCTCACCGGGAATAGGCACCAGATGTAAACGCGAAATCAATATTATTTGGATGCTTTAAGGTGCAGAACTTTCCTGGTGGAGCGTCGATTTTTTACTTTAAAAAAAGTTTAACACTGTTCTTGTTCGCTCTTTAAAGCTGGACTAACTCACTTTGCGACTTTGAAGCAGCAGTTTTTCACATGTAAGAGCTGCCCTCGCTCTTTCTGCTCCCCTCCCAGCACTCACAAAGCTATCGCCCCAACATATAAATATACCCTTAATTTCCCATCTACAATGGAGACAAGCGACTGACTTTTAAAATAAACTGAATTTAT